GTTGCACGGAACTTGAAGAACTCTTTGCATGAACAAACATCCGATAAATAAGGCTTTTGTCAAATCCTGTTGCTAGAACACAGAAAACATCCTTTCCCCTGAGTAGCAACTCCAAAGCTTCCCTCTGCTCCGATTTTAAAACAAATCCCAACTCTTGCGAGCAAATCCAGGCGATCAACATCTGTCATTTTACAGCGAAAGCTTTAGCAATTCATCACGGTATGGAACAACGTGAATGACATGTTGAAAACATTACTTGACAGCTTGGTGACAGCTTGCATCGAAGTTTAGCCAATGGGAATTGCCCGTGGCTGGGAGAAGCGGGTAATTCGAACGAATATAACGTATTTAAAACGGACAGTCCGTATTTTTAGCGTCTCTCCCCAGTCTCGCTCTCTGTTTTCAGCCTCATTCCAGACCTTTTGTTTGACTGCTCGCGCGTACTTGAATACGCAAAAATACGGACTGTTTTGCAGTCTAGACTGCATTTTAAGACCGGTGCCAGCCTTCGGCTGGGCCCCGGTAATGAACATAAAATCATAAAAAAGAGCGACTCTCGTGTTTAAACTACAAAGCTACTGTTTCGCGTCGCCGACCGTACTTTATGCCTGTCAGACCAAAAGTAACAATTTGATTTGAAAAACTAACTAATGAACCATCCTAATTTGAAGAAAAATAAATGCTAATGTTATTTTGAAAAGCTGTTAAAGTCGAAAACTGTGCAGCTTGTCACGTTCATAGTCAAGGATTATGTTGCATGTGATATTCACATGGAACGACCTTTGAACAACAACGCGCAGCCGCTGCCCGATTCAACAACATTTTCTTAAAGCTTTTTGATAGACATGCTACCATAGTTAATTGAGTGGAATGGTTATGAAACCCGTCAGACTCCTTTGTTATATGTTTTTGTGGACCTGAAAGTGCACAACGTACAAAAGAATTCCTATCATTTTGATTGTATTGACCAATAAAAACGTTGCATTAATTTATTCCGTAACAATTTGCCAACAGAAAACAAAGGATTGTGCACTGTCACGGTGCTTTGAACATAAACTGCAGCACTGTTGTTTTTATCATTGATGTTTGCCGCTTTTCATAACCAGTCTCCTCTAATAACTATGATGCTACATAAAAGTCGACCTCAACAGTTTCTTATCAAGAGGAGCGTTTTTTTAGGCCGCGAAGCAACTGAGCGAGCTACGATTTCGCAAGTAATAAATTCTAGACATTCTACTTTTTTGACCGTAAATCAAGAAATCAACATCAGCATGTCGCCCAGTTGGGCGTCCGGGACAATATTTTCAGTCGCCCGAGGCCAAGTCTTGTGCTGTTAGAGCACACTCCATGATCTTTGCCTCAACTACGCAGTAAGCTTACTTTTCCCTTCTTTGCTGACGAAGTACCTTTTTTTCTGCTTGTGCAATCCAACCCGACTTGCGTGTGATTCGAAGTTGCAGCCAATAAAAATCAAACAATTTTTCGGGACGGGCACGGGATACGGGAAAGTTAAAAAGACAAGGCAATTTTTGACTCCCAAGAAGACGAAAGGAATGCGCGCTATTAATAAACCATTATCAGTTATATGATTGCGAGTATTCTTCGGTAGTGGATGGTCTTCGTTCTCTTGCGAAACAATTTACCACAGAAATCTTCACAACTGACGTCAAATTAAAAGCGGGGGCAGCTAAAGTGAACACTATTAATTTCTAGTTTATTAATAGCATGGATTGGGTTACATTTTGGTTTGTTTGCGATGGAACGTTTAGCTGGTGATTTAAACCTGAGACCTTCACGATATATGCTAATGCAGAGAAACAGAATTTTCGGAAATTAGAAAAGCGGAAAGGATTTGCTGTGTTAGTCACAGTCTGGTTTTTATACTCGATCTGCAGTCTGCAGTCTGCGTATTTAAACTAACTAATAAATAACTGCGCCAACTAACAATCAACTAGGCGGAAGTACTGTCTTCTGATCTATGAAAATAACACAGCTCTGAACGATAATTGTACATATAATTTTCGACTTGATTCATGTTAACTATAATCATAGTTAATTGAGTGGAATGGTTATGAAACCCGTCAGACTCCTTTGTTATATGTTTTTGTGGACCTGAAAGTGCACAACGTACAAAAGAATTCCTGTCATTTTGATTGTATTGACCAATAAAAACGTTGCATTAATTTATTCCGTAACAATTTGCCAACAGAAAACAAAGGATTGTGCACTGTCACGGTGCTTTGAACATAAACTGCAGCACTGTTGCTTTTATCATTGATGTTTGCCGCTTTTCATAACCAGTCTCCTCTAATAACTATGCTATAATCTGTTAAATAGTGTGGAATTGCTGTATGAATATATCTATATAGCAAATTTTTCAAACATGAACACACATGGGATGCTGACTGGGCTATGACAACTACGCCGATGCTATTAAGTTCAATATACCTGGACCCTTTCTAGTACCGGGATTGGTCAAAGCTCGTGATAACAATGAATT